ATTTGACAGAGAGAGACAGTGAGAGAGGGAACACAAGCAGGGGAAGCAGGAGAGGGAGAAGCAGGTTTCCCATTGAGCAGGGAGCCCGATATGGGAGCTCGATCTCAGGGCCCCCAGGGATCATGACCTGAGCCAAAGACAGACGCTTAACAACTGAGCCACCCAGGCACCCCTAATATTAACTTCTTAAGTTAGGTATGGGCAGCCTCATAGTCAGTGGCACTTCTCATTTCTTTTCTGGTTTATCTTTCAGTGTCCTTTCTGCCTTTCTTCCTCTGGATAAGTTAAGACGCAAAATGGAATAAGCGCAGGCTTTGAAACCAGACGGACGTTGAGACTAAACCTATCCCTTCAAGTTCCTAGCTGTGTGGCTCTTGGAGGGTCTTTTTCCTAGCCACAAAACACTAATGACATCTACTTGACAGGCTTGAGGTAAGGATTGGGGAAAAAAAAAAACAAACATACGAAGAGGCTGGCATGTTAGAAGAATGCAGTAAATGTTAGTTAACATTTTTACTACCATTTGAACAAATGGTGTTGTTCTGACTTAAAAAACATTTTTAAATGCTTCTCTGAGTGAAGAAAAAATATTTTTTCAAGGGCATGGCATTTATATGCTACCTTAGAAAAGCAGGTTGGTAATTTCTTCTTCTTAAGTCCTATCAGAAGCTATTCTGCTCAAATAATGATGTTTGGGACAATCACCTAAAAACGTCCAGGAACCAAGAAAATATAAAGGCAGCATTATCATCATCGCTGTGTCCCAAGTGGGGCAAGCCGGGCTGCTTTGTGTTCTAGATCCCTTAGTGTAGGGACCTACTACATTCATATCCCTCCCACTACCTACCTACAGCGATACCGTAGCACGCTGTAGAGGTGCAAGACCGCGTGCTAAAAGTTCTGCTTTTAAAGAGGCATTTATATAACACTACCGAAACAATAAATATAGTTTCAAAGCCAAGATCATTGATGCCTCTCCGAATCAACAGGAAGCTATCGTCCACTGAAATTCCCCACAACAATGAAGTATTAAATAGCCTCTATTCTTAAACTTTCACAAAATGCTAAGATGCAAGATTTTCATACACCTTATTTCCGTACACTTAACTCCTGGGGGGTGGGAGGAGAAGGCAACCTATAACGTTTTATTCACTATGGAGAAATATCTCTGGCCAATTTTGTTGCATAATTTTGCTTATATTGTAATACAAACGACCACCTTGAAATTCGTCTTATTCCTCGCACAATTTCTAGCATGATGCTAAAGAGTAATAAAATAGCCAAAAGATACATGAGAAAGCAAGGAACCTTAAAAGACTGAGACCAGTACACTGTGCCTAAAGAACTGAGGATGGGCCGGTCCTTACTTAAGACACCTAAGCAGCAGCTACGGTTACTGGGTGTCCTCTGCCACTTTAAAAGGGTATTTGGCCCACCGCGAGCTAACAAACCCACTAGTTTGAACCTAAGGGGCGCCAGCTCAGGGGGAGACAGAAAACACTCCTCGCGCCGTTTCGTCCCATTTCCTCGTGGAAAGCCTGAATCGCCTCTCGAAGGTGGCCTCGCCGCAGGGCTCTGAGGTGAGGGGTGCAACCCCTCCACACACACCCCCTCCCGGCCCGGATTAAGCAGGGGAACGCGTTCACGCTGTCACGCAGGTCCCGCGCAGACAGGGACCGGGAGGCTCGGAGGCCTGACGCCTCCCTCTCCCCCACGCCAGGCAGGGGGCCCGACGCGTCTCCGCGGGCCCCCGCTCTCCGCCGCGACAGGGAGCGCCTCCCCGCCCCGGAGGCCCCCCAGCGACGGGAAGCGAACCCGACTCGACCAGCCCACCCGGAAGCCCTCCCCCAGCTCACACCTGCTGGCGCGTGACGCCCGGAGCCGCGCGCGCCCGCCCGCCTGCCCCGGCCCTGCCATTCGGGGCGCCCCTTGCTTGCGCGCGGGACGTCGCCCTCGTCCCTCCCCGCCACGGGGTCAAACCCACCACACGCCCGCCCCCACGGAGCGCAAGCTCAACGCCGCCGCCCCCGCCGGGACCCGCGCGCGCTCCCGCCCCCCCTCCGGCCCTGTCCCCGCCGCGCGCGCTCACTCGCGAGGACACGCACACGCTGCGCCTCAGCTTGACAGGCCGGCCCGCGCCGCGCGCTCCCGCGGGCGTCCTCGCCCACCGGGCCGCCCAGCTCTGACTGGGCGGTGCGCGGGGGAGGGGAAGGGCGGCAGTGGCCGTCGGTCCTCACTCACCGCCGAGCCGCGCCGGCTCCGAGTGCGCGGCGTTCCGCTGTGAGGCGATGCGCTGCGATGCGCGCGGTCCCCGCTTCTCCGCAGGCTATGGAGGCGACGTAGTAGGGGGACTGAAGGGGCGCGGGGGGTCACTCCCTCCCGCCTCACCTCCCAGAAACACGGGGACCCCAGAAACTAAAAACAAAATAAACAAACTTTCCCCTCCGCCTCCCTCCCCCAAAACCACAACACAAACACTCGGGGGCCCGCCCACTGCCCCACTCCATTGGCCGCAGGGAGGATGCTTCCGGCTCTCACTGGCTGATTTTTGTGCCCATCAAGCTGCGGTTCCGCCCCTCCAATTCCTCGCCGCTGCCGTCGCCCCTCATTGGTCAAGTGCTTCCCGTTTGACGAGCTAGGATTGGCTGAGCTGCCTGCGCCAATCATTCGGGGACACACCCCCTCAGCATCCCAGAGGCCGCTTCCTTGGTCGCGGACCCGGAGAGGTGAAGGGGAAACTAGAGCATGATGGCGGCCGAGCTCATTTGGCGCAACCATCGTCTTTTTTCTTTTTTTAGCCCATTGGTGACTCGCCCTCGCGCTGTTTCCCCTGAGCTCCTCTCTCCATCCAGTATTGCCTAATAACGGAATCTATACGAGCCGGCTCCTTAATTTATCCCCTTCGAAGTGCTGAGTGTGGGCTGGCTGTGCGTCATTGGACTGTCAGAATGTCACTCCCTAGTCAAATCTTCAAGCTATTGGTGGAACGGCCAGAAAACCCGTCCAACAACAAGGACTAGTGCCATTGGTTTGACTCCACAGAGTTCTTTCCTGGGACCTTATTGGGCAAATAGGCGCGTCAGTCGGATCTGGATTCTCTGTGCTACGGGTTAATTGTTTGCTGGGAGTTTGTGGAGGACTATGGTCGTTTGGTCCGTAGTTGACTTTAATAATGACTGTCGTTTATTTTGTGCCTCCTTTGTGCCAACTGCTGTTCTGAGTTCTTTACAGGGATTTTATGGTTAAACCTGTGAGTTTTACATTCTCTAAATTTTACAGATAGAAACGAAGGCTCTAAAGAGATTAGGACACTTGCCCAAGGTCACCCAGATAGAAAGTAATTTGTGAGCCCGGCGTTGGTCCCAGGACTGTCTGACTCCAGAGCCTTCGCTCTTTTTACTGGTGCCTCTCCCTTCGTCCGGAATCTTACCTGCCAGCCAACCCAGCATCTTAAAAATATTTCATTCCGAATGCAAGTTTCCCCATCAGTTTCTGGAGGTGACATTGTGGGAGACTAAAGCAATGGAGAGGCGTCATTGCCGCCACCGCATTCTCCTCGCTGGCACCCGTTCCTCCCCACCCTAAAGTAAACCATTTTGGCGTTTCCTGACCAGAAGCCCATCTACGTCTGTGTTTATTTTCTCAGCTTTATAAATGAACATTTCTACCATCCTTGTGTGCCAAGCCTACCTCCTCAACCCTCACTCATCTATCTCCAGCTCACTCTTTGGAGAGAGACCTCAAGAGCCAGAAACAAGGAGAGGGGAGTCTAAAGAGAGATAAAGAATAAACGCTTTAGAAGTAAATAATTTGTTACATGCAAATGGAACAGCCCTTTGGCTCCTGGGAAGCTTCCGGAGTGGCCCCTGATGCAGTGCGAGACGTGTGCTCCTGGCTCCTCGCCACTAGATTTTTTCTCTGTGGCAGCTTTCAGCGAAGTGAATCCAACATTCCAGCCAGGGGAGGGCAGGATGCTTAGGACCCACTGCCAAAGAGCCAGCCCCAGCCTCTGGGACTGAAATGATCTCCAGGAGCACAGCTCTGGACTCCAGCCCACATTCCGTCTCGGGTAATTAACATTTTACCATCCCAAATCCCCATCCCCTGTAGCTTCAGTGGGATCACCGCCCTTGTTTCACTTCCTGATCCAAGCTGTTGTGTAACCTCGTTGGCACTGCTTTAGTAATAAAACAACCACTGTAACACTGTAATGCTCAACACTTAACAGACTTTCAGCAGAGGAAGACAAGGCATTTCACAAACATCAATTAAGTGGCAGGTATTCCTAGGGCAACTGCCAGCAGAAGGACAGAAGAAAGATCATGAGTCAAATTCTAATAAAGTTCCTAAGAGCCTGGATCCTTATAAGAACATGAACATACTCCATCCTAGCATTCCAATATGGGGATTATGAATCAGAAGATACAATGAATGAGAAATGTTCAGACTTCAAAACCTTCCTTATCTTCATACTGATTCTTTGTAACTCTTTTAACCCATAAACCAGTGCTTGGTTTTACAGTTAATTATTGAACACATTTGTCTGCCCCAACTTAGTGTAAGTTCCTTGAAAACAAATGGTTTCTTTTTCATCTTTGTATCCCTTAAATTGTTCTGATTATAAAAGGTCCCCAAACAAATAATTATTCAGTAAATGTTTATTGAGTCTGTCAGCACTTTCCTAATGCACAAGGGCTACACAGAAGATTAAAACACCTCTGCCTTCAGTGACCTCAAGTCTAGTGGGGGTGGCCAAAGGTAAAGACCATCACAGTGCAGGTGGCTTAGAAGGACACGGGAGGAACACAGGACTCAAGCTTGGCAGGACAGGGATGGCTTCCCAGAAGAAGTGACATCCACAAGGAGAACAAAAGGATGAAATGCGTTTAGCTGGCCAAGGGGCTGATGACGTGTGGTGACCTGCAATGTTTGCTCTCTTTGGGCAGGGAGCAAGAGAGGAGTATCCAGGAATGGCCAAAGCCAGTTCTTCCTATAATCTTTGTGAGGGCCTTCAGCCCTCTATCTGCTCCACCTCTTTGTACTTTCCCTCCCCAGGAGAAAGCAGGGAGCTGGACCCCCTGTCGTGTTTGCCCATTTGAGAATAGGAAAATAATTTCCAAATAAGATTGTTTTTCCAATAATAAAAGTAACACTGAGTAAAGATTTCAGACAGTATAGAAAGTTTTAAAGTACAGAATAAAAGCTCTCTCAAATCCCTACTAGAGCCAACTCCTGTTAAAGAGAGTATCTTCCCAGACTCCTCATGAGTAGACCCACATGTAGATTTTTTTCTTCCCACAAATAGTGGGGTGTGGTTTAACGTGTGCACTCTGAGAGTTCTCATTGCTCAGAACTGCAGCTTTGGGTGGAACCTGTCCTCACTTTCTATACTTATGGGAAGGAGGCCAATAAATCAACCAAATGTTTATTGTGGAGGATGATGGTTTCAAATTCCTGTTGCAGCAAATGACAAATTACCACCTGTTACAGGACTTTGGGGCTTGCTCAGGCTAGTGTAAAGTCAATGAATTGGGGGGAAGGGGGGGTCTGCTGTGCCCACTACCCTAGGGCTTATGGGTTTGCTTTGATGGTTGTGGTCAATCCATGCCCTGAAAAGGCAGCCCAGGTCAGAGAATAACATGCTAGGGTGCTCTCCTATGCTGTCTTTCTCATTTCTTCTCTGCATGCTATTTGGGGAAAATATTTTTTGTTTGTTTGTTCCAACTAACCCAGCTTTGAGAGTAAAAAAAACTCGTCAAGCCCTGCACAATTGTATTTAGGCCAAGTGCAGTATGTTCTTGGAGTGCTTTGCTATTCTTAGAGCTCTATATGTAGGGTTCTATACAGTTGGCTTTTTGCTGGAAGGGAAGGCAGATCTGATGAGTGATAGCTGCTTTGGATGGCTACCAAAAGTGCTCTAAGCCATTTCAAGCAACAGGCCTTCCTTTTTTCCCTTGAGAGATTGCTCTGTGATCCCTGAACACATTGCATTGGCCTGGACAAAATCCAGTGCAACGGGAATTTCTGTGAACAGTTCTGCAATGACCCACAAGCTCAGGGTGACATAGCCAGCTGGATCTGCTCCAACTCTGCTTTCTGTGGCACAGAAGAACTCCGTCCACCCTTCGCGCAGGCCTCTCATTGCTATGAGACATTTGGAAGTGTTTCTAAAGCATTCTCCAATTCTTCAATCATATAACCATGGGAAGATCCCTGTAAAGAAACCTAATCCAAAAGACAAGAAGCCTGCTGACAGCTGATACTGCTCACTGGGGCAGTGGGTATGGCCAGAGCCAAGGCCAAGAGCAGTGGGAGAGGGGAACTTTCTAGAGGGTGCTGATTATAGAGGACATGCTTATAAGCATTTATTACAGGTCTGGTAGCATGTATTGTGGAACAAAGCCCTTGTGCAAGACGTTATGCCACTTCTAAATCATCTCTCTTCTTATGACCACACTTCCTGAAAAGCTCCCTGTGAAGCAGCAAACACTGGACTCCTCCTGTTTGCTGGCCAACATTAGACCCGCAGGAGGCTCACGAGAGAACCAGAAGTGGCTGTTCATAATAGCTTCCCTTTCACGAACACTTCCTTGCTGTGTGTCAGACACTACACTGAGGGCTTTCCCCAGACCGCAGCAGCCAATCTTCACAACCTTGGTTATCCCCGTTTTCCAGATAGGGAAACTGAGGCACTGGGGACTGACGAATTTGCCCCAGGTCGCCAGAGGTAATAACCTCACAGCTGAAACCAGACATTCTGACTCCAAAGAGTAAGCTGTCTTCTTCGCTGCTACGTCGCCCCAGACATCTACCTTGAGAACACCACAGTGCATCTGGGGAGACATCGGCCTCCAAAGGAACAGTTGCCCTCATAGCCTTCATCAGCTGAACCCCATGCTCCTTTCTCCTACAGAGTCAGGGAAAGAGTTGTGCCTCTTCCTGGCTAACTTACTGCCTCCGGTGGTCCTTCCTCCACATCCCAGTTGGGAACTGGCTCTCCTCCCACCCCCTTCAAAGCAGCCTCTTTCTTTCTGCCCTTTTTCCCTCTACTTCCTTTTCTCAGCTTCTTGAATAATGACCTGAGGCCATCTCCACTGGTGCCCCCTCCTTCTTTAAACCTGGCTTCTGGCCCTAACGCTCTTCTGACACTCATTTCTCCAAGCTCATCTCTGACCTCTTGTGGCCAAGATCCAAGAGCCTGTCTCAGTTCTTGTTTCCATGGCTTCATCACTACGTTTTACTCCGAGAATCTTCTCTTGGTTTCCAAAATAGCCAGCTTCCCTCCTACCTCTACAACTGTTCATGCTCTTTTTCATACCACCTCTTTCTCTAAGCTCCTTCAAAGGAGTCTGTCTGCTCTTCTCTCCTTATGTTGCCTTCTGGGGGCATGGGGTGGGGGTGGGGAGCT